ACAAACAAACATAAAGCTGATAAATTTGAACCTCGCGAAATTAAAGTCGTTAAAGAAACGAACTTAAGCAGTTTTTTTATATTGTTATTTACTTTAACTTTATTTTAAAGATAAAAAAACATACACACACACATTAAATTAAGAGACTTCAGGTGATCTCTCCTTTTCACAGTGGCTCAGCGGTAAGTCCAAAGACTCGTAACGCTATAATACAGGTTTCGATACCTGTGGTGGGCACAGCACAGATAACATACTGTGCAGCTTTGCGCTTAAAAACAAACAATTATAAATTTCTTGTGCTCACTGAGAAAAGACATCACTTCTCAATCCTTCAAGGTATGTTTTTAGAATTTTGTATATTATATAAAAAAAAAACATCGCTTCATTAAACAAACTAAAAGTAGTATTTCCAATGAGAGAGGTGGGGAGCAAACGTGGCCTATTAGTTAGTGCGCCAGAATGTAGACTGGAGGTTCTGTTGTTCGCGTTCCGCACTTTGGGATGGTGTTGACTAGTTACCTTCCCTCTTGTCCATCACTTCAAAATTAGGGACGGTAGCGCAGACAGCTCTCGAGTTGTTTTGTGTGAAATTCAACAAATAAACAATATGTGTATTATTTGCTATTGGCGACTGCGTACAGGTTAATGCCGTTTACTGACGAATCAGCGACTGCATACAGGTTAATGCCGTTTACTGACGAATCAGCGACACTCTACAGATTAATGCCGTTTACTAACGAATCAGCGACAGCCTACTGATTAATGCCTTTTACTGACGAATCAGCGACAGCCTACAGATTAATGCCGTTCACTGACGAATCAGTGACAGCCTACAGATTAATGCCGTTCACTGACGAATCAGCGACAGCCTACAGATTAATGCCGTTTCTGTCGAATCAGCGACAGCCTACAGATTAATGCCGTTTACTGACGAATCAACGACAGTCTACAGATTAATGCCGTTTACTGACGAATCAGCGACAGCCTACAGATTAATGCCGTTTCTGTCGAATCAGCGACAGCCTACAGATTAATGCCGTTTACTGA